TTAGATTTTTTTTTACTTTTCGCGTAATTTATTTCGATTCGTTAGAAACAAAAAAAATGTTTTTGATTACTTTTTTATATGCTTAATGTATGATTTCAGATTACAATGGATTGGAGGACAGGTCTAGTGGCGCTCTGTTTAGTACTTTATGTTGATGCATTTTCCAGTAAGTATTATTATTATATAGCTTTTATAAACAAATAAAATATGGTTAATGTACTACAAAATGAATGTAGGTTTGTTTACAGTTTATAAGATAATGCATTTTTTGTTTTTATTGTCAAGATTTAAAATGCTAATATTATTTAAAAAAAAGGCTAAAAAAATTTAAGCTGCCTGCGTAACCGGCTACGGTCGTCTTCTAATATTTTGTATGAAACTGGAATTTCGATTAGTATTTTTACCTAAATGAGACGAGGCGTATAGGAGGGCATTCACCTGATAGAATTCGGAATCTGAATACAAAATCCCGCGCTGTACCTCATTTTTTTCTAGAACTATAATAAAACAAATTACTGATATTTGCACATTACTCTAGAATACACAAAGACTTCTTTTATAGAAAAAGTCACTTTTCAGCAAAAATTGCAATCATCTAGAAATATTAATTTACTGTATTTGAATTTATTTAACTTAAAACAAACATTATTTTACGTTTAGCAAGACCTATTCCACCCTAGATCTTCGTATGTACTTTTCATTACCTAATGCACTCATAAACTCGACGCACCCAACGAAGTATAACAAAACAATGAGTTATGATCCGACCTTACGGCTCGCTTTTTACTCCACTTTATTGCATCTAAAGTCACAAGTGCTATAAAATTTTCTCATACTTGGCTGTTACATCGCTCTTAAAAAAATAACCACGAGTAGAATCATGCCGCGGGCACGAAATTTGCGAGCGAGACGGGCGGAGCGCGGTGATAAACAAAAGTTTAAATTTGTGTGTTGCTAATTCCGTGCCCGCGGCCTGAGAGGAAGAACATACGTTAACGTTAAAGCCTGGTCAAAGACTATGTGATCAACATTTGTTACTTTGCTATGTACATTTGCATGGAAAACGCATAAATGCACATGTATTTATGGGTGTTAGATAATTCCCATTAAGATTTTAAAGATATAAATATAGGTTTTATTTAATATTCTTATTTCACTTTTCAATACATTCTCTTTTGCACAAATATTGGTTTAACTAAATTTATAAGTAACATTATCAATATTAATAAAAAAGTAACATTGCAATGCTTTTTTAAAAACTTCCTTCAAAATCCCCAAGTTTACTAGAAAAATTGTGTTGCTCCATTTTAAGGGATATCTGTGTTAAAAACTTCTTTATTTATATAGAAAGTTTAATATCAGTTCCCGTACCCGTTACAACAAAAACGCCGAATGGAACATACTCAAACTTCCCCCAAAGCCCATACTTCATTTCCATTTTATCATGCCGTTTTCTTTTGTATAAGTTTTTTTTTCTTCTTATAAGTTTTGTTTGTTATTGTAAGACTGGAATGCGTAACAATAAACCGGGGAATCTAGCGCATATTATAACTTCGAAGCGCAAAGGATGGGAAAACAATTCGGCGGTGGAAAGTTTCTCGCCTTATATTACGTTCAGTATAGACTCTCAAGGGCCACTGTGAACCGAATCTAAGTACATAACCTTGTATATTCAAATGACCCTTTCCCCTTACGACCGAATACTTTATCCGGTCACGATTTCGGGTTATAAAAAAGGGCACAATTCCCGAAGTAACATGAATAAAATTTATTCATTGAATGTACGCGGTTACATTTCCGAACACCTTATTATATCAATAACTGGCTCTTTCTACGGCCCTGTGTCATATAACTATCTGTTTTGAGGTAGACAACGATTTGCACTGCATCTTTTACATACAAAACCACTCCCGAGTAGTATTTATGGGAAATTTGATGTTAAGCTTTTCCGATTCTTGAAACGGAGCTGTATTTTCAGCGTGTATATGATGTGATAAATCTAAATATATTCTTTTATTAACAGAATACGGAAGGACGTGTAAAGATATAGGATGTCTGAACAGCGAGGTGTGCGTATTGGCCGAGGACCCCTGTACGTTCGGCCACTCCACTGACTGCGGAACGTACCCTACCTGCAAGAAGAAGTCTAAAGTAGAAGGTACTTATTCCTCTAATCAACAAAGGAACACATTTGATAACATCCAACCAATATAACGAAAACAGAAAGATATATGTTTTTCCAAATACATGTAATGACCAGTAACAACGAAGTTATGCCAGGACCGCAAAAACCGGAAATCCGCAATCACTACCTACTGCTTTAGTCTGCGGATGCCGCTTTATTTACTTTAATCTTTTCATCCGAGGTCACGGACTTGCAACAGTGTATTATAAGCATCGCTTGTTTTTTTTATAAGTCTTATAATTGTTTAAAAAAATTAAAACAACTTATAGATATTAATATTATTAACAAAGCGAATTGAGACATCCAAAATGTTCTCTTTTCAGGCTCCCATTCGGAACCCGCTCAGCCTTCCGTTCCGAAACCGGCGCCGCACACTCCCACGAGCGATTTCGATTCCCCACCTCATTATCCTGCGCCAGCACCGCCTTCTCCAAACATGGGAGGCAATACGCACACAGGAGGTTCCCCTTACGGGGGCAACTCGCCTTACGGTGGTAACTCGCCTTATGGAGGCAACTCGCATACCGGAGGCGGTTCACCTTATGGCGGAAATTCGCCTTACGGTGGTAATTCTCCGTATGGCGGTTCAACAGGCGGCCATTCACCATACGGAGGCAATTCGCCTTACGGAGGCAGTTCGCCATATGGAGGAACACCCAACCGCGGTGGAAATAACCCTTACGGAGGAAGTTCGCCTTACGGTGGCTCCAATCCAACAGGAACAAAGAGTCCATTGGACAACATCTTTAATACACTAAACAACTTCGCCAATGGCGGAGGCACAGGAACAGGAGCCGGTGGTCAAGGGTTATCCAACATCTTCGGAAATATACTAGGAAATTTATCCAAAAACGGAGGTTTGACAAGTTTCCTAAACACTAGGCCTTTAATGGAGAATCCTAATTATGCATCGCACAGTTCGAATTCTAGGAGTGCTAATCCCCAAAATTATCCATCAGGCCAGCCCGCGTACCAAGCTCCAAGTCAGAACAGGAATTATGGTCAAAGTAATGCCCGTTACAACGCAGGAACTACAAGAAAACCGGCGACCTATGGCTGGAACTTCGGGTAAATACAACTCTAGTTGGAACGAAGGCTTTAGATGATTACTTTAGCTTTGCATGAATACTATTTAACAACTAATGCAAATAATTTTATACTCAACAGTTCACAAAGTCGAACTGCCTGCATACAATCACTTTTAATTTTAAGTTTCTTTTTATTTTATAATTTTGTCACAAATAACAAAACTAAAATGCAATTTTCAAGAGCTTGATAATGAATCTCTGATAGTAATTTTCTTTTCATTTAGAATGGTTAAGGTTATCTTAGATATTAAGTTGTATTTAACTATATCTGCATATTTTAACTATTTTTGCTATGAAAAGGCTTTTTCTCATCCCAGTAAGTACTGTCAAATGACACCAAAGATTTTTTTTACTAATAGAACTTCGCTTTTGAAGAATTTGTTTAAAATTATTAGAAACAAGCATTTTGGCTTAATATTTTTTTTAATTATGCAATGCAATGAATATAAATATGAATATGAATGCTTTATATAGTCTGTACTTTGAAAAAAAAGTTGCCAGTTATTTCTTTGTTATTTTTTATTTTGCATTTAAGATTTATAAGAAAATACTTTCAATGTATATTCTTTGTAGAATATTTATGCACCCGAGCTAAAGCTTGTCATCATGTGGATTCTAACACTGTTTTATAGTGAAATTAAATGTAATACTAAAAAATGTATAAAATAGTTGACAAACTTAGTGTACTCTAGTACTTTTTATTGGCTTTCAACAGCTAAATATTTTACCATATTTTATTTTAAAAAAACGCATTAGGAATTTGCTAATAATTTTATTGTAAGAAATGTAAGAACAACTCATAATTTTTGTAAATTATACAAAATTAAATGTTAAAAAATGAGCAAATGGAATGCATCACAACTTTACTAATATATTTCACTAACTTTTCTACAAATTACTTCTATTATGCTTTAGATTGCACCATTTCATTATTGTTTTTTATTTTTTATTGAGATTAAACAACGCAAAATACTCAAATATTTAAAATAACTTTTCAGATTTTAATATCCACAAGAAATAACCGAAATTGTATTTTATAGTCAAATAATTTTATGTAATTTTTTTTTATAAGCAAATAATTTCATTTTTTTTACCAATTGTTTGCTAATTTTTCTTAAGTTATATAAAAAGACTCACTGTACTCTTACAATTTAATTTCTAACCGACTTCAAAAAAAGGAGGTTCACAATACGTCTGTATGTTTATTTTTTATAAGACAGTGCCATTTTAATACTGCATATTTTATATTTATTTCAGTGTGGCCATGTTGACATATGTCGTACATCAATACATCTACAGTGTGGTACTCAACTGAATTATATGTAGAAAAATTATTATTTTTTATAACTGAATTGTGATATATATTCAGGTGCCTTGTGATTAATTGTTGCCGTCAAATATTATGTATATGTTGTGAAATTAACATTAAATTTTAATTTTATTCAAGTTTTTTTCTTCATTGTGAGTTTTTATTGCTTAGAACCTGTACAAAAATATTTATTTTAATAAGAGACAAAAACGTAATGAAGATAACTATTTTTATCTGTACCAACAATAATCGTTAATGTAGGGCAAGTTTGGGCTACCGCCCAGGGCGTTGACTATTATCAGTATAGGTGGACTAGAAAAACTAATGACAAAGACAGATCTTCCCAAAACTATTTATCTAAATTATCTCTTAATTTTAATAGTAAAAAATATTAAAAAAAATCATAAATACATGTACTTGTCTTTTATTTAAGAGGTAGGATATAATTTAAAAATGACTTTTACTGTATTTTTATCAGTATAAAATTCTATGTCTATCACCCCTACAACCTTTATTATCACTAAAATCTAAATATACGTTCCCGTATTAAAATTTGTCTAGAAATATGTAATTATTGTTTTACACTATAATTTTTTTCTTTTGTATCATTTAATATTTTCTTGGGTTTTCCTATTTTATGCACTTGGTTTAACAATAAACCAAGTATTAGGAAGGCAAACCATACGCCATACCAATAATGATATACCGAAGAATAATAAATCCAAATTCTGTCAAATGTTAAAAGTAAAAATGCAGCCGCTTGATAAGATTCAGAATGAGATCGTAAGAACCACATGATGAAGCCGATAACTTTCTTTTTCTGAAACAAAACAATATTTATTTTTTTTACACACTACTAATATAAAAAATATAAATCTAACCAAACTTGTTACTATAAGTCTTATATTGAATCGCATATAAAAGCAATAAAATAAACAATTGCAATTTCCAAAAAAAAAACATGGTTGAAATTGAGAAAATGTAACTTACCGTTCCTGTGGCATCCTTATAATATAGTTTGTAATAAATATCTTCAGCCATCAAATAAAATGGACAAAAGTAAATGCAAAAGAAATAACCAGCATGGTAGCCATGCCAAATCACAGACACAAATAATGCTGCATGAATTCTGAAAATAATTAAATATATCATTACTTGGCTCTCAGTGCTGCTGCGCGTCATAGTTAAACCTTTTTTGATTATTTTTTACTTTTGACTCTTTCTGTCATTAGCCAGTTTTTTCTATTATCATGTTAAAAAACATTTTTTCCTTAAGAACAAGAACAAAGATATTTTTCTTAGCTATCAAACTATTTATCACACAACTACCGAGCCACTGAATTGGCATATATTGAAGAAGAGTGCTCCTATTGCTGATGTGGGAAATCAAATGCCTTGTATATGCCATTTTAATAGGATAAATATAACAACTTACTTTAGCAGTTTTACAGGGAACCTCTTATAGACAACCATAGCAACCCAATACTGCACAGCCTTATTCCAGACTTTCATAGAGTCCCGTAAAGTAACAACGGTTTCACAACCCCAAACATCCATTGACTCCACTGTGTTAAAATCATATTGGACCAATTTTGCTTCCTCCTCACTCCTGTAAACAAACATTATAATTTTTAAAAAAATAATTAAAAAAACAAAAATACAAAATGTAATTTGGTACTTTGCACATTGCAAAATGCTACACTTCATATGTTTTCCTTCAATAAAGGCTGGAAATGCATTAGAAGTTAAATCTTTCTAAAAAAAACTCAATTTCAGTCAAGTACTTACATTTTTTTAAGCTTCAAATAACCTACGGTTGGTCCATGACCAGTTCTATTCCTGCCCTGCACAGGATATGCTCCGAGGCCTGCTGATGTACACACACTCTCCGCTAAAGTCATACCAGAGTACACACGCTGCCGGAACGCAGCAAACAATGCCCATGGATATAACATTCTGTACAAGAAGTTCCTATTATTATGATCTTCACTTAGGATATACTGAAAAAGAAAGTGTATTGTCTAAACATTGTCTTCGGAAACCCTATACATGGTTCTGGGCTTAGTCCAGAATTTTTCATATCAGTCTAATCATGGCTTACTGTTTCTAGCCCTAAAAATCAATATTTTTAAGATCTTTTTTTACGTCAAGCTACCTTATTTTCAGTCTTTCATGTGTCATCCTTCTGGCCGACTCAAATATTGTTAAATAATTTTAGTAAATAAGCAAGGTTATATAATTTCACTTACCTCCAAAGGCCAAAGGTTAGATAATGCTAAATATAGAGATACATATAACGGAACTATCTTCAATGTATTAATAGTGAAACCAGTGCAATCCACATATTTGCTAAATGGCAGATGAAAGTAATCGTCAAATGTTCTATACCTGTAGTATGGACCTAAAAACATAGAGCACAATCTCACTATTAATTATTATTATTATTATTATATGTAGTTGCACACTGGCAGCTGGTCAGCTGATATGTGTGCTAAATAATTTGGAGATATTCAGCTTGTCGATGTTGTTTTTAAAAGCGTTAATTGATGGAGCCATTGCAATGCTCTCTGGGAGTTTGTTCCATGCTGCAACAACCCTGTTCGATAAGAAATATTTCATAGTATTTTTCTTAGCTGAGTTTTCCCAAAGCTTCAGGGGATGCCCACGTAGATGTTCATTGTCATTCAGTGTATACATATCTTGGAGGCCTGGTACATCATAATAATGAGTAAGAATTTTGTATGTTTCAATTAACATGCCCCTTTGTCTGCGCTCTTCAAGTGTAGGAAGGCTAAGAGTTTTAAGACGCTGTTCATAGGGTAAGTAACGCAGTGCATTCACCATCTTGGTTGCCCTTCTCTGTACATTTTCAATCAGTTTTATGTCCTTAATAAAGTAGGGATCCCATATAATGTAAGCATGTTCAAGGAGAGGTCTAATATATGTTTTGTACATTTTTATAAAGGTCTTAGCCGTTAAACATTTAAAGGCTTTGCGAATTATGTAGAGAATAGAGTTGGCTTTCTTCACAACGGCATGCACATGATTTTCCCATTTAAGGTTGTTAGATATTGTGACTCCCAAGTCTTTTTGTGTTTCAACAACAGTTAATTGCTTGCCACCGAGATAATATACTTGTTGTGGGTTATTTTTGCCAATATGTAGTACAGTGCATTTGTCTACATTTAAAGTCAGAAGCCAGTCTTCAGTCCACTTATAAATAGCATTTAAGTCATCTTGAATGGCCAACCAGTGAGTTCGGGGGTTAGCAAAAAATTTGGTATCATCAGCAAAAAGCGAAAAAGGTAATTAATGTAATGCAAAAGTTTAGATGTATGGATGTTTGTTAAAAGGTATCTCGGGAATAGCTGCATAGATCTTGATGAAATATGGCACATATGTAGGACATAGTACGAAAGAATACATAGGCTACTTATTAAGTATATTAATTTTGTGCACACGCAGATGCAGCCGCAGCCACCAGCCACCACCACCAATTTATTGTGATTACAATTATCTACTGAAACACCTGAATGAAAAAATATTGTTATCTCTGTTTTCTCAAAGAGAATGAAAGAGATGACAATACCATTTTATACAAATATTTTAGTGGAAACTAATTGTTAGTTTATTATTACCTGTAAGTAATCCTACATAGTTAAAAGTATAATGGAATAAATCAGCATAACATGGATTTATAATCTCAACAAAATCATCATCTCTATCAAATTCTTTTACTTGAGATTTTTTATCATCATTTTCTTGCTTCTTTGTTTTACCAACGGTTATCCAAGATCCATTTATTTCAAATGCTACTCCAACAACTCGTAACACAATTATCATTTCAATCAAATTGGTTTGCCCTGATGATAATGGTAATCCAAATTTATCTGACAATCGGAAGAAAAACAAATATCCAAACATTAGAAAGAATGTTGCAACATGGCAGTATCTGAAAAAAAATTGAAATCTGGTTAGGTGTTTTGTTTCATGTTGGTGACAAAAGAATGAAAGGCATAATAAAAGAATACTGGAACAGGTTCACTAAATGGAAGACAAAAATCTTTGCCCTCTCCTCAGGGTCACACATAAGCTATGTTGTTTCTTGCATGTTTTGATCTTACCGCACAGTTGTCAACTTAATAATCGTTATTCCAAGAAGTGCTGAAAATATTGGATGTATAGCATTGTAACCAGATACAGTTACTATTAGAAGTAGTCCAATTATTGAACCAACCCATTTCTTAGCTTGCACTGAGCCTAAACTTCTATAATATCGACCTATAAACACACTAAATAATAAAAGTCCTAAATAAATTAAGTCATTTTTGTTCTTATTTATAAAAGCTATCATTTTGGTTATTGATATGCCCAAGTGAATAATAAATATAATACAAAGTCTCAAATTTTAATTAGATAGTTGGTTTGTTATGTTTCATATTTTTACAGTCGGCACTTGCAGCTTAACAACGATTAATAAAGTTTAGGTTTTTTAATCCAACGTAAGATTTTACTGTTTAAATAAAAAGTAATAAATAGATATAATAATTTATACGTGAAATTTAATAAGTTACAAATCACGTTTGACTTTGATTTGTTTTTTGTAATTTGACCTTGACAAATGACAATTTTAAGTGTTACCAAAGAAAACCGTATGCTTGACATTAAGCCGTAAGCCAAAATGAATCATCCTACTTACTACCGCACTCAGAGTGATATAAATTTTATTTAACGAATCCTTTAGCTTAGATTTTATTACATCAAGTCTATGTTACTAAGCCGTTATTTAATTCAAGGATCACTAAACTGCTCTTTGAATTTGAAATGCATTGATGAAAGGGAACCGGAAACTGCCGGAAACAAAAGTAAATGTAGATTTGACAGTTTGTCAATTGACAAGAGATTTGATTTGATTATTTGATTTGATGAGCGTATTTAAAAAATTAAAATTTCAACTTCGTTGATATAGAAAACAAAAATGTTTACTTCACTGTAGTATTTTTCCAGAGCTAAGTGACTTGACCAATCATTGTTTAAAATGGAATCTTACCTTCGTTACATTGATGTTACAACAAATTATTACTTTCTCATAGGTGGCTTTTTCTTAAGTTATTTGATTTATAGAATAGTTAATTCCTTCGTAAGTGGTAATGATTTTATGCAAACAATATACAGTCGAGGTCGGTATGGGCATACTTGGAGAAGTATTGAATGTAACAAATCTTTGCCGTATAATATTTACGTAAGTTTAAGTCGATAGCCCATTATTATTTAGATTTATCGCACATTTAAATAATCCTTCTATTTTCAGTGTACTGTGTGCAGTAAACTAATGCTGCCTGTGGTTGGCCTTTTTTGTGAGTGCTGTGCACTAAGTGCATGCAAGAAATGCAATAGAATTTTGGACAAAAAGTTTAGATGCAAACATATATCATGGCCAAGTGATAAACCATTTTATCATCATTGGGTTGATAGTAAGTTATCTTACTATAAATCATTTATATAGTAAATCCTAACAACTGGCTATCACTAACATTTTTATAAACAAAGCAAGGTCAATATTCTTAGCATCATTTCTAAAAATTTTGTTTAGCCACAGATGATAATTTAACTTTTAAACTTGCTAATTATTAAAAATATTTTTCTAAATATTGCAGTTGGCACAACAAGTGAAAAGGATGATACCCAGACTGAGAATTTTAAAAAGTTGTTTTGCTCTTGGTGCCAAAGAACTAAAGTTATTAAAGAGAATTTTCATAACAATAATGAGGTAGGTAAAAAAAAGAATAAACCTTCATTTTTGTCACTTTTATACCATTAAGGTAACTACTACAATTTAGCCCCAAAAACATATTGGATTATTGAGCATGTCTATGGATAGTTGTAACAAAACTTCAGACGACCTGATTGGTCGTTAATTGTAATATTGTTGTATGAAAAAGTCCTTACACTTGTTTCCTACTACATGTTTGACCTTTATGTTTTTAATTTCAGCAATGTGATTTTAACAAATACAGGAAACTAATAATTCCTCCAACAAGTGTTCAACTGCATAGAGGAACCATAAGCAATATTATACCTCCAACTGATGATGATTGGGAACCTCTCATTGTTCTTGGTAATTAAAAATGTTATATTTTTCTTTGAATTACAGTATCTACATAAAATCAAGATTAACTGTTTTTTAATGATAGTGTAATAGCTGTGAGAAAGTTTGCGAAAAAAAAAGAATATTATGAACATCCAATCATTAGTTCCTTTTTCATACACGAGTCAACAAAAATTTCGTTTTTTTTCTTCTAGCCAACCGAAAATCTGGAAGTAGTAGAAGTGATGAAGTAATATCCATATTCCGTGGACTACTTAATCCAATACAGGTAATTTGTATGTATTTGTTACAATATGGACCAGCTTTGATTACAATTTTAAATTCCACTCTACATTTGAACAATACAATGACAGATGAATATTTAAATAGAATTATTTATTGAGACCTAAATATCTTTGTAGGAAATTTATTGACTTTGCATAAATGTTTTGTATAAATTTTTTTTTATTTAGTTGCTGCTTAACACAGCAATAAAAAAGATATCTTGCTGAGTTGTAACTAGAATATTAAATGATGATAGATGTCATTCAAAATATTAATCAAGTGTTTAAAAATCGTTTCCGACTTATTAATATCAGGTGGTGGATATAAGTTCAATTGCTCCGGAAAAAGTAATAAAATGGCTGCCAAGTAGATGTCGGTTGCTGATTGCTGGTGGTGATGGTACAGTGGCTTGGGTCCTCAATGCCTTGCAACCGGCTACACATATCAGGGTTAGTTATTTTTGGGACTTCTAGAAGGTTGATCCGTGAAACTAGGCCTTACACACAAGACAAGATAATTAAAAATCGACTTTTCAATATAAGTAAACCAAATAAATACATGAAATATCATTTTTTTAAGTCACTAGGCAATAGGGTTGGTTGATGATACATACAGACACACCAATTTTCTTTTATAGATAGATAAGTTTGTTTTTGCAGGCGTCGGTGGGTATCCTGCCGATGGGCACTGGCAACGATCTATCGCGCGTACTGGGCTGGGGCGCCGGTTGTGACGCCCGTCTCGACGCACACGCTATCGTCAAAGCTGTGCGTGACGCCGAAGAACAGCCTCTGGATAGGTGACTAGCAACTCTCGAATAACCTCGTTAAATGGTTGTTTAGCAGTGCCTTAGTGCAGATTTCTTATAGTAAATAAACTACTGGAACTTTGCGGGTATTTAGGGTTTTGAGTGTGACAATAACAGCGGACTTTATTCAGATAACTAAACATATTTAAATGTAACTAGCTTTCGATTGCAACTCCGCTCGCTCGGAATTAAAAAAGGAAAATTTTCAGCCAAATCGGTTCAGCCATTTTTGAGTTACAAATAGTGTAACTAATATGACTTGATGACTTTTATTAGACTAATTGACTTAGAAAGAAAATCACTTTTCTACTTCTTTATGTCATGTCTTTTTGTTGTTTTTGCGACTGCAGATGGAAGGTTACAATAAAACCGAAACGCGCTGGTCTGCGCGGTCGTGGCGAGCGCGTCCTCCACGCATACAATTATGCCAGCGTGGGCGTGGACGCCCAAGTCGCCCTGGACTTCCACCGTGCGCGTGCGCAGTTCCTATACCGATTCGCAAACCGCACACTTAACTACGTAAGACTTTAAAGCTACTGTGTATAACTGTGCTTAGCACTAAATAGTAACTTTTGCAAGGATATCTTTGTATATCAAAGTTGAAAGTGGTTAATGGAATTGGATGGCTTGATGAAAACGGGCGTTAATATACCACTGATTCACCACCGCTCGTGTGGCTTCTTTTCAAAACGATTGTACCGTGTGTTGTCCAGGTGGCGTACCTGTTCCTGGGCATGGGACGGGCACTAGACGATGGGGGGTGCGGTGGTCTGGAGCGGCGGCTGCGCGTGTGGCTGGGGGGTGGCCGCGACCCCTTGGCGCTGCCACCGCTGCAGGCGCTCGTCGCACTCAATATACCCTCATGGGGCGCCGGAGTACATCTCTGGAGTGAGTACCCGCTGACCTTATATACTACCCACTTTTTTGTGTTCTCAGATATATTTATCTTTCTTATTTTCTCAAGATATGGGCAATGAGGGTGAGATGCCCGAGCAGAGCGTCAGCGATGGAAAATTAGAGGTATATTCACAAACTTATTATATGTTCTTGACATAAAACATTTTCTTTTATATTGTGTTTTATCTACAGGTGGTCGGTATTTCATCGTCGTTTCATATCGCGAGGCTGCAGGTTGGCCTCGCGGAGCCCTATCGCTTTGCACAAACGTCAAAGCTCAAGGTACGAATAGCATCATCGTTTGTTTATAATTAAAAAAGAACTGTATTCATCTTACTTCTTACTAATATTATAAATGCGAATGTATGGATGGATGAATGAAGTTATTTCCGGAACGGCTCAACAATCTGAAATTTATACATAGATATCACAAATGTAGCACATAGTCTAGAAGAACACATAGGCTATTTATTAAGTTTTGTTTTCAATTTCGCGCGAACAGAGTCGTGTGCTAAGAAATAATGTTGCCACCAGATCGAGTTGTCAGGGTCGTGCGCGATGCAGGTGGACGGCGAACCTTGGATGCAATCTGCCGCCACCATCACCATTGAACCAGATGGCCAGTGCTGCATGCTGCGACCTCCACACCACTACACCGATACTGGATAATGTATCCAATATTTGTAAGTCACCTTACATTATATCAAATATGTTGCAATTCATTGATAGTGGGTTAAAAAGACCTCATATTTTAATAGAACCTTTTATAGCTTAAACGTCATGATTTTGAAGTATAAGATATTCGTATTGTGTAGTTTGACATGGATTTTGTGATAAACTACCCTAAGATCCATGTGGAAATTCTTTTCCTAAAGGTACGAGTCCATTGGCCCGCACCGGACGCACCGCACACACGGCACGCAACGGATTGTTTGTTGATAAAAGCAAAAAAATCGTTGCGGGCGTGTGCGGTGCGTCCGGCGCGGACCAATGGACGCGTACCTTAAGTGTCATGGAGATAGTCGGGATTTTTTTTTAGTAACACCTATTTTCACGTGCAACAACAAGCTCAATCTTGACCGCTTGGCTATCAATTTTTGTAGCAAACGTGGTTGCACTAGTGGAAATATGACTCCATAGTGAAAATGGGTACTAATTTAACTAACGTATTCGGTCGCATGTTTTTTACATATTGTTATTGGAATTGACTTAAAAGATTATACTTAAATTGTAAATACATTTTATTGTTATTTGGACTAATAATAATTATTCTCTAATTATTAATAAACTTTTAGTAATACTTGTAGATTTTTAACAAACTTTAGCATTACATTTATGCATTTTTGAACAAATTTACTTTATCAGTATATAAAATACTCTCCATTATTCTGCAATATGCAGCCCCATGCATAAATGTAAATGTATGTTCCTAAAATATTATTTATTTGTTAAATAGGCCATATCAAATATTCAAAACAAGTTTTTTTTATATGTAATTTGTATTTTATAATTAGGTATATTTGCCAGTATTAAGAGCATTTTCAATATATACTCGAATATTGTAATAAATATTACATTTTAAAATGTATTTTCTTATTATTATAAATTATGTGTATTTAATGTCGTTCACATTTTTGGTATTTTAAATATAGATTATATATGTACATTTGTACAACGCGCCAAAGATAATTTTAACTCTTGATGTTTGCAAATAAAAAAAAATATAAACGATTGCTTGTTTAATTATCCCAGGGTACTATTAGGACGCGATAAAAATGAAAAACAATTTATTTTGATAACATTTTAATTAACAACCACTAATAAATTGGAAATCTGTGATTTACATATATCGTAAATCTTTGGGTATATTTTATCTAGAACAAAAAACAATGTAAACATTTCTTGTTGTGTATACAATTTCTATTAATATTTTTAGAATATGAATAACAGTTAACTATATAACAAATTTTGTATATGATTTAAAAAAAATGGAAGATTTTATTATGGTACACTGTTTTATAATTAAGACATATAGAAATACCTGACATTTTCTGGAGGTCTAGCATGAAAATTTTGTGATCAACATTTCGTAACGTCATCGAAATTTGTCGTACTTTAGCCGCAAGGCGGGCGCACTAATAACATTTTTTTGCAAATTTTCCTGCTAGGCCCCCTGATGTAGGAATGCGAAGATTTTCATTAAAGTTTCCTAACATTTCTAATAAATTGGCCCTATGTTTCTTGTCAAAAATTTCGCATTCATTCAAATGCACCAAAATCATTATAAAAAAATAATTACATATATTTGAATATTGTCCATATTGATGTCGGAATGTCAAATAAATAAAAAATATATAAAAATAAGATACATTTCTCCACAGACCTATAAAATGGAATTATCATTATATTGAGATGTTTTGGTGACATATTCATTTAAATTTTGGCACTTTCAAATTAAATAATTGTCGAGCGATAAATTAAATTAGGTAGTTTTTTCAGCAGACATTAATAATTAAAAATTTCTCTAATAATAATAAAAGTTTTTAAAACCTGAGGTTTCTACCTAAAGTACTGATCTATATTTATAAAAAACACAATGTATCACTTCAACATACAGATAAATAAAATTAAAGGATTTTGTATCACTATCACATTAAACTTGCCATAATAAAAAAAATGTAATTTTGCGACTTTATCTGAAACTAATTTATAACAAAAGCATAAAAGATTAAATACAAACTATTAATCAGAAATGTAGATCTTTCAATAGTTATTATCGATTAAAAAAATTGAAATATACGAATAAAATTGTCTAAATAAAAATTTATGGGTAACTTTTATAACTTATCAATAAATTCTCTTTGAGAGTAAAATAAATTATACTTAAACACAGATTTTAGGCCTCATGCTTTCAGGCCGGTAAAATTCTGTCAGTAAAAAAAAACACTGAATGCAAACTATTTTAAAATCTCACGAATTGTTTATAAAAACATTGTCTCACTCTTGTATGAAAAAAATGTATTGCATACATTCTATTAAAAAAAAATGCAAAGCTTAATGGAATAAATTAAGAAAAAAAAACGCAAAGCATCATCTACATTTTTATAAGCAATCTTTTAACACACACTACTATTTATCATAAACTACTGCAAAACAGTTATCCCACAATATTAAAAACTTAGTACCCTTGTATTCTTTGAAAACATTATTTGGACATATTAATCTAACTACCAACTCTAAGACAAAATCTTGTAAATTTTATATAGTTTAAAAAATGATTAAATATTTCTAAATTGTTATATTTTGAACACTTGAATATGTATAAATACAGATTACACTACTTGAGATTAATGTTTTGTTTAAAAAATCTAAAAATACAGTCCAAACCTACATCTATATCAACAATCAAGTGTAGTTCCACAAGGATTTTTAGGCAGACGGAATATATGTGAACTCACAATGTCATTTTGACAGCATCATGTTTTGACCAATAAGAGAATGGCAACTGTATGTTTTAATGTTGCCATTTCATAATTTACAAATTCATAATAATATCATGCATGATACATGTACACATAGATTAATTTGCTAATATGTCAAAATATATCAAATTAAATAGTAAGGAATTACTATGAAATCTCAGGTCATAAGTTGCAAATCAAACGCTTGAAGTTGCAACATGGACTTTCAAAAGAAGTTAGGTTGTTCACCGGTAACCCTAAAAACTTGTCAATGTCAAAAAATTGCCATAAAAACTTGTGGGACTATATTTTCTCAAATTATCCATGGTCTTTTCAAAAAGATTACACTTTGATTGTACCAAAATTAATTCTAAGTTGTTCTAGGAATACGAAAGTGAGTACCGTATGAGGCGCGAGTCTTGCGAACGCTGGAATGTATCCTTTGAAGAAAGCTAGTGGACCCTCTTTAGCTGTTCCAACTACAAGGGTCAATATACTCTTCACTTCTCCAGGTTTGGCATTCATTGCTCTTGTCTTTAATACATCAACAGGCTGAGTCAAAGTTGTTGCGATACCACCCTAAAAGAAATATGATGGCTATAGTTAACAATTAAAAAGGTGTATCCATTGAAAAGGTTATGATTTAAATTACTTTTTACCAAATTTCAGTAATTACTTTGATAAACATTTTTTTAAGTAAAATTTAAATTAAGACATATTAATCAATTGTTTTGTTTTTTATGGTTTTTAGAGTATTAATTTATTTATCTGATACATTGGAACTACAAAAATGAAGCGTTGCAGTAAACCATATTTTTATTTATACTTGGTCCTTTGAGTCAGGTACAAAAAGAAACAACGTGTTATTTAAAATTTTCTAAATATTAGCATTTTACTATGGGTGATTTACAAACTAATAATGTACCAACATAGCTAATATTTTAAATCACTTTACCAATTGTATCAAAATATTGTTTTTCCTTAAAACACAGGAAATGATTAATCAAGTACTCACCGCTAACAAACTGGATGTAACATGTGTGAAGACATTATCCTCTAGGTACTCAGTTGATAGCAGGAGTTCTTTTATCTTGTCATAGAAGGATAGCTGACCAATGGTCATGAGGACCGCGCGGCTGCATGTCATGGAGGCGCCAGCCCATAGACGCAGCACTCCCTCCTCCGTAGCTACCTTCCATAGACCATGAATAGCATTCTTGTAGCTGCAAACAAGTCATATTTACTGTAGAATATTTGTATGTACTAATTTTTGATTAATTCTTTCATATATAATAGATAAACCTCATTTAATAATAAGTCAAACATAAATATGTTTGACTTATTATTGGGATAGAATATATTATAAAAATATATAATATTTATGTTACAATATGTCAATATTATCAGATCATATTTGTCCCGGCCAAGGGGTTCAAATTCATAATACATTGAATATTCTTGTCTATTTTTGAGAGGGATAACAAAAAGTGTTTATGCATTTGGTTAAACAGTAGAATTTACTATATTTGGTGTTTTACAATAACAAGAATGCCTTATATATAACATAATAGTATGTATAATTATCAAGTGTCTTATCTAATGTACTCAAGATAACTGAAATAATGTGTGGTAACGATGATAAATTGATAGTTGATGTTAAGATAAAAATTCTCTCAATTCATATCTACTATAAAAGATATTAGATGGTATCATGTGACATAAAAAACATTTATTTACAATGACAGAAACAACAGGGGGTAACAGATAAACTATTGAAAATAGATAAGGAAAAAAGTATATGAATGTGTGGATCATCAGTAAAATATATCTTGGGTGAAAAAATATCTATGGAAGCTTAGAACTCACTTTCTTCTCTGTTCTGGTGGGAGTTTAACATCATTCTGCATCCGAACATTGACTAAATCAGCTGGATTTCCCACAAAACCTCCAGCGAACCCACCAAGACCTGCTAGGAATGCTGACATGAAAAATGATATGGGTTGACCCTGAAAACAAAAATCAAAACTATTACTAGAGACAATCTGCACTATCTTTAATTATAAATATAAGAAGTAGCAAAAAAATAGATATAAAGATTCTCTTTGAAATAAATAAAATTGTTTGACTTGTTACATTTAAGCCAAACTAGTAGAATTACATGACTTTCATAACAACCTTTCTTTTATTAAATTAATGAGAACTTACATTTTTCGGTGCCAAATGTTGCTTAGCCATCTCATAAATACCAAATCTAGCTGTTGAATAAGTGAGTTGCCTCAGGAGAGATGCTGATATGCCATTATAAAGGCCCATTACTCCTATTAAATAACATAATGTATTTATTAATACATAATTCACTGTTTATTGCAAACTTTTGTACTAATAAGACTTTTATCTAAAAGAGAAATTTTAAGGAAGGAGTAAAGAATTTGATGGTTGTCTTAGGTAAGTGAAATCATTTAATTTTTTATTTCAAGAAATTATAAATCTTCATATTATTAATACATGACAAAAAAATTACATATGGATATGAAATGTACTATATTAAAAATATGATAAATAAATGAATACAGAATGGTAAATGATTCGTTGTTCAAAACATACCTTGATTTTTTAAAACAATTCCAGTAAGCTTCAACATTGAGATGTTTTTTCCTTTTTGTGTTTGCATTTGAACTTTTAAAAGATCTAGCGGATGTGTCACACATGCTGCTCCAGCTGAAGCCAAACCCCCGAAGTACCATCGTGAAACTCTAATTTCTGTTGCTTTACTCATAATACTGAAATAATTTCACAAACTGTGGATATCATATATCATTAACCTATCTGCCAACATTAATTGCAGGACTACTTCTATCTTATACTAAAATGTATATACGTTTGCAGCATATATTCTTAATAAGTGCTGTTTCGCGTTCTTTAAAATATATTTATACGCAAATTTGATAACGTATCAATTTTTAATTTTCTCATTATCAGATCTTAAGCGTGTTCAGTATTTGTGATAACGCTATATCAATTTGCAATGGCATTTTGTCAAATGTCATTTGTCAGTGGTGATAATAGGTTCATAGATTAAATATAACATTGACATTGTTTAAAGCCTGACCAACAAAGTAAAAACCCTGTTACGAGGGCACCTCTCCATTGATATTGCAATACTTTACACTTACTTCAATTCATTAAATTACAACATTTAAAAATAAAATCCCAAGTTTTAGACAGCTGTAATGTAACGTTAGATTCTCATAGATTTTTCTAATAATTGCTATTGCAATTAACTATGAAAGTATTTATAATAATTACTTTTTAATAAACAGAATGTTATAAGTAAGCAACCCCTTAACTTGTGTTCTTAGGGTTTTTTTATTTTGATAGATGGAAAAACGAAATTGATAACAAACGTCAGCACTCGGCAATCAGCAAACAAAACGTCAAAATCAAAGGAATTTTGAAGGACATTCATTTGTTTTGATTAATTAATTTCCGTAATAAAATACTTTATTACATAATTTCTGTGTGTATAAATAGTGTTTCAAGAATATAAATTTAAAATATTTGGACTAGAAATACTGATTAAAGAAGTAAGTTACTTACTCGTTTTGGTTATATTATTAATTTTTTTGTATTAAATTCACGAAACTTTTTTCACATTTGAGTGGTCTTAATTATACCGCTTTGGAGTAATGACTGACTGTATTTTGAGTTATGTAATATTGGACCGGAGTTTTAACCTTGCAAGTAACACGGGCACTGAGGACGCGAGCTAGAAATCACTCTCCCATGTGTGCTAAACTACAAATATTCTGTAATGAGTTGCAAGCTGTAGTTGTTTATCGTGTTTCTTGTTATGTCAAGTCATAATTTTCTATTCACGTTCGACGATAATATATTTGAATAATGCTTTTATTTTCAGCATGGCTACAGACATAATTTCGGCGTTGGAACTAGATAAGGAAAATATTCATAGTAGGATTTTAGTGGTTAAAGAAATTAATAACTGCAGTAGTTCATTTATAACCAGTTGTGTTTTAGGACATTTAATAAAAAAGAAAAGTGCAGTTCTTATTATATCTACTCACAATTCAATAAAACACTATCAGAATGTTGGTTTGAAAATGAATTATAACCTAAACAGATGTATAGATGATGGTTTAGTACAGTTTTACAATTTTGGTGAAGAATATGTGGATAAACTGCTGAAAAATGAACATATATCTGTGGAGCAGATTTATCAGAATATCACAGATAAAATTGAATATATGAGGAAGAAATATAATGTAGTAAATGTAATATTTGATGGGGTATCGCATTTGTTAGATATGTATTATAATATTAAAGAAATTAATCTAATATGTTCAAAGATTATTGAATTAATCAGAGAGTACAACTCATTACTTATATGTCACTTTAATGTGGCCAGTGAGCATGATTTGACACATGTTTTAGCTAATTTCCTTTCACATAGAGCATTTATGGTTGTAGAAGTTGAGAATCTCGCATCAGGATGGAGTAGTGATGTTTCAGGACATTTGACAATAAAATATCCAGGTAAAAAGTTTGATAATGAACACATGCATTCATTGGAAATCAAACCGGCTCAATACCTATACAAATTATTTGATAGAGGTGTGAAACTACTTGCACCGGGTACTGTGTAATATTTTCAAGATTTGTGTAATACATTGCATTTATGGAATAATGTATTTGTCAATAACTATAAATTGAAAATAACTTTTATATTAGTGTACATTGTTTTAAAAATAATGATTACATTTTTTCAACATATACCTTCAAATACCAATAAAAAGTAATAACTTCAATACCAATAAAAAGTATATTAGAATGTTTTGTTTTATTTCTACAATATTTAAACTAATAATAGTAAATGGACAGTAGAAAAGAATAATTCTGTATTTTTTGTTGGACCCAAAATTCTATCAGCCCAGTGGGAAAAAATCCTGTTAATTTGAGAATGTTACTTCATTCAAGTAAAAAGAAAGAGATGGTGAATTATATAACATTAGTTACTACAGGGAATCTAAGAAATAAGATCCTGAGAAAAAGGGTCTTAGACAGACGGACGGACAGCAAAGTGATCGTATAAGGGTTGCCTTTTTTCCTTTCGAGGTACCGAACCCTAAAATACAAAAAAAAAACAATATAATTATGTACCATTCGCAGGCATACAAGCAGCATCGAAGGCGCTGCCGTAGAATCATAAGCGTGTTGCTTAACTGTTGAGCTTAAAACATGCTTACATAAGAAAATTAGAACATAAAGATTATTTATAAATGTTTATATGGATATTTAAATATTTTTAAGTAATCTTAATTTAGATTAAATTAGTTATTCCCAAAAAGGTTAAGCTATTGCATGAAAGTTTCATTTGTGGGGATTAACTGTTGCTAGGCGACCAGCCGGGCGAAGGTTAAGTTTGGGTTTAGTCGCAGTCCATGTGGAGCCTCCGAGTTGAAAACTACCCGCATAAAATACTAGGAAAAACTGTCGAGAAATATAACGTTTGTTACTTCATAAACAAAACATATTCGATTAGAATGATTGCTCACGCGTTTACATTACTCTAATGACAAATATTTTTCTCTGTTATACTTTCGATAGTGAAAGTGGTGTCGTGTTAATCTAATAGATAAAACGATGCAATGACTCAAAGTACATCAAGCAACGAAAAACTTCATAACGGAGTCCGCACTGTCAGCGAGGAAAAGCTTATGGTAATACAATTTTTTTTAAACCCAGTATACGTGATATCAAGGTCACTACTTATTATTCTTTACGGTTTGGAATTTGTCTTGTATCATGAATGATCTATTATTTAATAATACTATTCATACAACGTCATAACCATAAATATTTATAAATCTTTGTAAAATAATATGAGTACGTTATCTCTTTTATCTGTTAAGATAAAATTTTCAATATCTGCCCACGTAAACTCGTATATTTTGTAATTAATTTTTCCATTGTTTACGTTTCGTTTATCCTGATTGATTCGATTTTTTTCGAGTTGTAAATCTTTATTTATGTGTGAAAGGAGACATTATATTACATATGGATGTACCTTATAATATTTATTTCGAGACAAACTTCTTGATATTTATATCTCCATATTATATGGGAGTATAAATCACCCTCAACTTAGGGTAGGCTCCGATCCCCTCGGTGGGGACGTATAGTGAGCTGATGATGATGATGATAAATTTTAGACATACCTACATATCTACAAAAATAATAAAAAATTACCTATAAAAATCTAGTAATTTATGGTAATATAAAAATGTAAGTTAATATTAATAGACGCGTGTTCGTATCTCGTGTTATCTGAAAGATTTATGAATCTAATTTGTCCAATTGAAAGAGCGTAATGTAATTAGGTTAATTGAATTTGTTGTATATAGATTTTATTACTTTATATTCAAAAGGATTTCTCTATCCTGCATGAATTTATTTATTGTATCCTGTTTAACCATAATCTTAATTATTTTGTTTAACACGTAGAAAGCTACCGACGTTTGGTGACTTGATTTTCATGAAAAAAATGTAGTGGCGTAGAAAGTAAACCATTGGCTTTTCCGTGAAAAAATTTAGAAACAGTTTAGTTAATTTAATTAGTAATGCTTTTTATAAAATATTAAAAATGGGGCCAGTAGTCAAGGTCTTGATTGTAAAAAGGCGAAGGTTGCAAAGGTCTTGCATGATGTGTGCCAATAATAAACACGATTTTAATAATTTCACAAAAGACCGAACGAATTAAACTTTTATTAATAATCTGCTTGTTAGTTTAAACATTTTGATATTATATTTCTAAAGTATTTCTCGACTTTTACGTTAAATTATATTTCATTTTCATCAATTGATTTAATACCTAAGTAGTAATTCTTTTCCTCTTAATTGTTCTAAATAATTGTTAAGAATGATTTATCCACAGGTCGTAGTTCGCGTGCGGCCATTGCGGAATGATGAGGGCCCACGGATCGTACATGTCGTCAGTGATAAGGTTATACAAGTTATGTTTTAGAACATAGTCTTCTCTGTTTTTGAGAATTTAAGATGATAGGGATAATAATCATTTTTAAACACCCACATTGTCTCCAAAATTTGTAAAAGACTAGATGTAAAAATTGATTTAATCTTCTCAGATACTTGTGTAAACGAAACAACATAAATATGCTTCAATAGTTTGTGTTCAATAGATGTTGGTGCTGGAGGAGGAGGCTGACAGCCGGCGCGATGTTCTCCGTCAACGCAGAGTCAACGATAAGCATTACATATACGACAAAGTCTTCGGCGAAGAAAGTACACAGGTATCCCTACTGATAACTGTATCGTTGCACAAAAATAGAATTGTTAGGCGCGAAGCTTGCGCTAGGAAATGGAACACGACAATAGTTCAAATGACCAGGATCGAACCTACGATCGCTAGACTGTAGTCCATATCATAAACGAATGGTGCCTTCTATTTCTTTTAAATAAAACTGTTAGCTCAACTAAACGCTAAAGTTCTCAAAAATCGTGACGCTGCGTTACATTGGTAACCGAGGTGTGCAACATGCAATGGTCGTCGCCACGAACCCCTATTACTAGTGGCAGGTAAGGATTGTCCTTTAGGGTATTGACTACCCTGACGATATAAAAAAACATAGAGTTCAACAGAAATTTCCAGTGTTCATCATTTGGACGTTTGTCTACATAAGCAAATTCATTCTGCCTGGATTCTTAAATTATTTTGCGTCTAGGAAGAGGTATACGCGACAGTGTGTGGCCCGCTGGTGGCTGATGCGCTACGCGGGATAGCGGGCGCAGTGTTCGCGTACGGCGCGACTGGCGCCGGCAAGACCCACACCATGACGGGCCTCATGGCGCGGGCTCTCTCACATCTCTTCGAGTCCATCGCTGATAGTGACGACCCTGATGCATATGAGGTCAGTAACATACCGTGGTATTGTACTATTGAAGTACTTATATAAAAATATTGTCTTTTCTCACATTCTCCGTGAAAAAATAGATATAAAAATATGTTCTGCAGATTCTTACGACAACATTTTGGTACAGATATTTCTGCTTGTTTCGTTTAGCAAATGATGTTAACACAAAAATGAGCTTAATCTCAGCAAGAAAAATAATATTAAGATTTTACGTAGAAAATACTAAATACATTTCTCCATTTCTTAAACAAATATTAAATGTGAACTATGTAGGTTGCAGGGAAGGTCACAGCTTTGCTAAAATTAAATGCAGACTTATGACGTTGTTGTTATTATTAAACGGTCATGCGTTGTCCATTACTCTCTGTACGACAATTATTTTGTAACGAGTAGCAAAACATTTTGTATATAAATATCACAAATATTTGTGGTATTATTGTCAATATTTACACCCAATATGATAAAGATGTTTGTTGATAGCACCACACCCATTGTACGTCACACGTCACAGCATATTCTGAGTACATAAATGCATTTAATTACATCATATCAGTAATAGACGTCCTAAAAGCAAAAGACACTGAACACCATAGCCTAAAATGAAATTATGTAAAAACAAAAAGGCCTACTACGCTCATGTACGCCTAAATAATCTAACTTTGCGACCTCCTAATGGAGCAAAATCCCAACCCTAACGACCGCAGTAAAAGTTTAGAAGCCCTCCATCTTCGTTCTTGCTAAATGCCTTTTATTTTTATTATTTCATGGCCATCAGCCGCAAGCAAATATGTGACCTCATATTGAAAAGTATGTATTCGCGTCTACGTAGATTCTATGTGTATATACATTGTTAGTGCGTTTTAATTGTCAGGTCATGAGGTATTGGCGAGGTCGTTCCACATGGTGCCAACACACGACATACAATGACATCAACGCCACACATCCTCACCACACACATAATGGATACGGTATCGACTTGATAATGGACTAATGTCGTATACGTGATATTTGACTCTACAATGTAAGACCAAAATTTCTTTGAAAAACTCTTGTATGTATCAAGCAAAATGCAACATTCAATCTTGGCAACTTATTTTTGTAACAATTGATAAAGTTTTTGAGTGGATTTTTTTCTGAAATTAATTCATCAGTCGACTACTGCTTTAAAGGGCAAAATCTTCAGCTCATATTTGTCCACACTAAGGGGCTCGTAGTCTACTCCAGTTAGTGGTGACTAGGCCATAGTCAACAATCCTGGCGCAGCGCAGGTTACCTTCCCACACATAATTAAAATACTTTGGAGAAAAATGCAAGATGTATCGCAATATTTTCCATTTACTGTAAGTACGTCGGGTAAAACGTGCATATGAAAATCGAAATTTGTTAAACATATAGAGACATGGCGGGGATCGAATCTGTAGATTGTTCGGTCAAGCGCTTAACAACTGCGCCACCGACGTTCTCGTTCTCTTAAAGAGCTTGATAAATTGTAATTTGCAATTCGATGCTATTACCTTAAAACGACGTATCTGTAGTACGTATCTGTTTAACAGCAACATATAGGAAAGTCTCCGTTTCATTCAACCGTTTTTATATAACTTAGTTTTATGTCCAGCTTGTTGCCTGAGTTGGCAGTGTTGGCGAATGTCCGTTCCATGGCGTGCCCTGTCTGTCTACTAAACGTAACGGAACACTGACTAGCCCCATTTATGTACAACCTTTTTGTAACAATTTATATTTACTGTTCAAGAATATAAAGGTGTTTGAACTTTAAACCTTTTAAACTGTCGCGTAGATTATTATTTAATATTTTCAATTGGAATTGTAGAC